CTGGCTTGTTGAAAAGTGCCTTCTTTCTGCATAGGGCTATTGGGACGATTCATTGAGAGGGAGGGATATAGTCTTTAGCACAACACCTTACATATGGTAAATGCTGAGTCAAGTGTGCTTCTATTTGTTTTTCTTTGGGTTTGATTGTTTATGTAGAGGGGGCTACCATAACTGACTGGTGAAAAGTCTCCCGGCCAAGGAGACAGAGTAGGGGGTAGGTAGGTGTCTGTCTGCTTGACAACCTTAACGAGTATTTGAGTCAGTAACCAATACAATATACCAGATAATTTTACATAAAAACGTTACATAGAGCAATGGCGGTTCTCTTTGTGAAGCTCAAACTTGTTCTAAAGTTAATCTTATAAATATGAGCATACAGGTAATTGTGATACTAACATAAGATATAAAGTAACTGTCACCTTTGATGTATTACAGTGATGAACATGATGCCATCATTTAAGGAACTCCCAGCGACAAGGGAAGAAGACAGGTTGATGCAGCCGTTAGCTAACTTTTGTTTATTTGTAACTTAAAAAATACATTCTCTTCGTGGAAATAGTAGAAACAGACCGGGCATACAATGTACAACGTAGTATAAAATATGTAAAGAATCATCTTGATTACTGAGAAGCATTGGGTGTAGGTTTTTAATGAACATGTGAAGCTGGCAAAGAGCCCTGGTAGTGCAGCAGTTAAGGCTTGACCCCTAAGTGGACCCACCCGCTGCGCGGTGGGAGAAAGATGTGGCGGTCCGCTTCCATAAAGAGACACAGGCTTGGGAGCGCCCAGGGGCAGTTTTGCCCTGCCCTACAGGGCTGCTGAGTACACATTGCCTTGCCAGCAGTGAGCTTTGGGGTTTTGGGGGAGTCGTTTGTTTTTATCTGGCACAGTTATATTTACTTTCCACACATCCCCAGACATTGTCAGACACGTAGGTCCTCTCCCATTTTCTTGTGGCATTGGTCGCCCACAGCTAGTATTTGGAAGACAGCACCAATGACGGGCAGGACCCCATCTGGGCATCTGGCTAAGGGACTGTCCGAGCACTCAGGATTTCAAGGTTCTTGCTGCTCACACCAGTGCTGGGTGTGACCACGCAGCAGAAAGGAAACAAGTGAGTAAAACAAACCAGGCCTTCAACATAATTTTCATTTAAATGCCTCTTCAAAAAAGCAGTCTTTTGTATTTAAGGTATATAGCTAGTTTAAAACAATAACGCATCCAGAAAAAAACAAAACTCCAAGTTAAACCAGACACAGTTGCTTAACACTGTCAGAGATCCATTGGAGAGACTGTATTTTTATAAACGTCTTGTGAGCTTCAATGGTAGTTGATACAAATTTCTCTTTGGCTTTCTGTTGTATAATTTCTACCAAACTGTGTTGTTTCACAGGACTGTTTTTATGCTGTTTTGTTGCTAGTTTTAAATCATCCTGTATTTATAGGGGAGAACTCCTAGAAGTGTATGTGCTACTGTGAGAATGTTGTTGCCACTGGAAATTGTTTTATTTCATATTTCACGTGATAATTTTATATTTAGTGACTCTTTTTTAAGGGATGGGGAGATGCTTTCAGTATTGAGAAATGTCTAATGGAGTGTAGTAAGCACGATCAACTTTGAAAAAGTCTTTCACATGCTTGCCAAAACAGTCTTTAGAAGGAACTCCATGTGGCAGGTGCTATGCTGCCCCTCCAGGCAAGGACTGAACATTGCAACAGGAAAATGAGTGTCCATTTGACTCAAAGATTTGGGGAAAGAACCATTTTTCTACTAAGCCACGTGTACATCAAAATATGTGCTTGTGACGTTTTAAAAGAATGTTTGAGATGGAATTTCCTACTTCCTTATCTGCGCATTCCCCCAAGATCACACCTCCTCTGTT